CCCCCCCCCGATCGTCCCGCCCGACATGGCCTGTCGAACTTGTCTAAGGCAGTTCGCCACCATCTTTTTTTATGGTCACTCTCATGACACAAGCTATCGTCCAACATGCTCCAAGGCTCGTGTAACTTTTCGCTGCTGCTGCACACTCTGCAATGCGATCGAGAGCTCTCCTACGAAAGTATCCAACGGTTCTTCCATCGATGCGCATTTTCTCTACAATCTCATGTATGTCGTCTTTCGAGATGCCATTCTCGTTTGAGAGATGTGCCAACTTTGTTATCAACTCTTCTGCCATGCAACATACACACACACCATAATCCTCTCTGTTACTTTGTTGTGAAGACCTCGGATGGATTAGTCCACGACCAAACACATCTCTGCAAGTGTTCCACGACTTGTCCACCAGTTGGCGTGCGACATCCGGACCCCTTCTTTTGTCGTTGAGGTACTCGTGCCACATTAATGTCCGCAACGCCCTCCAATCTGGAGTTGTGTACCCGTCACACGAGTCGACGATTATGGCATCGGGGCATGTGCCGTCGGTCAAAAACTCCCTTACATTCAACATTATGAGCAGCATCCAGTGATGCTTGTGGTTAATTGAAATAAGCACGACCGGTGCAGCCTCCAAGTCTTTACACAGTCGATGAATTTTGGTCGTCCGACTCTTCCCAGTCACACGCAACTCCCATCCCCTTTCACTGCTTCGACTTTCTGATTCGCGAGCACCTCCGGATGCCAAATAGTTGTGCACACATGCACTGTTGCAGTGTCCTTACCTTGCAATTGCTCTTCGTATATGGACAGCAAATACATATCCATTACATTGTCATTGAGCCACTTCCCAACGACCAAGCACATCACATCTGCCTCCGCCAGTCGGATCTCCTCCCTTTTGCCTTTCCACATGAGTGGATATATGTTCGTCTCGTCAACAAGCTCGAACCCATCCGACGAGCTTGATGCGTTCTCGCCCTTCTTTGCCTGTGTTGTCTTCCCGCATGACTCTGATAGGTTTGCGAGATTCACTGACCGAATTGTTCCACTTGTCGCTGCCAAGTACATTCTGTTGTACCACGGGTCCTTCTGTGACAGGTGCTCCCATCTCTCCAACATAGCCTCGATTGTCATTATTCTGCACTTTGCCGCCGTCCTCTCTGTTGCTTCTTCGCCTTCTCTTGTTGTGGTTTGTGGCCTCTTCTCGGTGTGCGACGCTCCCTTGTCGACCTTTTGCGTTTCCACTTTGCTTCGTTCGGAGTTTTCCTGCTTCGTCGATATTGTTTTCTCTTGATTGCAATCGATCGTGACCTCTGCCACGCTGTCATCTCTGACGTTTTTTTTCTCTTCAGTTGTCCGCATTCGTGTTGTTTTTGATCGTTTCTCTCTCCTCGTGGTCATGCCTGCTGCCAGTGCTGAGCGTTCAGTACTGTTCCTCGTAATGTGTGACATTCTACCTGTGAACAAGCCATCAACATTTTCACGAGTTTTCTTGCGTCAGTTTCGGTAGTCGTTCCTTGGTGACGCGATGACAGGGCTTGGAGAGAGAGAGAGAGAGAGAGAGAGAGAGAGAGAGAGAGAGAGAGAAAGAAAGAGAGAGAGGGAGAGAGAGAGAGAGAGAGAGAGAGAGAATTGGGTGGTGGGGGGCCATAAAGATGTCGTGCATGAGCGGTGTTCCTTTAATTGGCACGCACAACCCAACCGGACCGCGCAGTCACCGTTGAGTGTCGCAAGCCACATATCACAATACAAATCTGTTCAAGTAAAAAGTGTCATTGCGTTGTCTTTCATAAGTCTTCGGTGAACCTCACTGTGGTTTTGCGAAACATGGAACAATGTGGACAGTATTCGTGATGTTGTCAACGGAGATGACGCTGCATAGGTGGCCACCATTTTCCATTTCCCATTTCAATTTTTTGCACCCTGTCACATCTGCTCTTTCAGTGTCAGCCTCTTTGTACCATTTTACAAAGGCGCACTCATGCGTGATGGACACTTCTTCCATACAGGTGTTCATGAAAAAAAACATTGCCACAGATGCATACCATGTACTTCCTGTCTGTGCCCTCACAGCAACATCATTGTGCACCGCTCTCCCGTGGAAGTTGGGTGAAGCCCTCGCAGTTTGCACAAGTGCTCCCCTGGTTGTTCCATCGGTGGTTGGTGCGATGCCAAGATGCATTCTTGTGCGTATTAACATATCCTCATGCGGTGGATTGCACCCGTTTTCCGACATGTACGTGCGAAGAGCTTCTCGAAATAAGTCCTTGCAAGGGAGGGCATCCAATATCGCTTTGGCGGTTCCCGTCGCACCTTCGTTCTCATTGAAAACCGCATTTTCGCGGGGGGAAAATCGAAGATGCAACTTCGTCGTGTCGCGCGCGGCAAGTGTGTTCATTCCGCTTGCCGAACACTCTACGACCAATTCTTAGTTGTCCTCTTCCTCTGTTTCCGTGCACGTTCAATGTCGTCGTCGAATGTGACAGCCCGTCGCACATGATTCACCATTTGAAACGAAGCTTTGCACTTGTTCGACGACAGGAAAGGTTGTTTACAAAACTTCTGGTGGTGGTGCTCCTACACATCGGACGCGAAGCTGTCTGGGAGACCTGAACGTTCAATGCACGCCCTCAAATGCAGAAGGTCGTGCAACTTCGGCAGTTTCTAGTTTGAGGTTTGATAATGACCCAGGACCTGTTTGAGGGTTGTTATGAAGTCCGTCATAAGATTGTCACATATGTCAAGCGAATGGCTTGAATGCTTTGTGCACCGGAACATTGAGATGTACAGTTCCATTAGTTTCTTGAAACAAGATGTTATTTTTTTTCCCACCGACCCAGGGATAATATTGGACAATATGAATACGCACACTGCCATAACCGACCGGTTCTGCTTAGCTTCGAAACGCCCCTCCCGTAAAAAGTAGTCGCTACCTGTTGCTACAGGTAGCACAAGTTGTGGATATGTAGTACTGCTTCTCTCGCTCAGCGTCTGCAACCTCGCATCCAACTCCTTCAACACATGGCTTTGTGGGACGTGGCTTAACTTGTCAAAGGCAGCTGCTCTGAAAGCGTCTAACATGTGCAAAAATATGTCGTGCTCGATGGTGTGCGTGCGGTCCGATTGCAAAGCCAGGTGGTAGTCGAACATAGGATCATCGTCTTCAGGACCCTTATAACATCGAACATATGTTCTGTTTCACATGCGTGTGCATGTTCATGTTCGACAATTGTGTCTTCGTCATGCGACGAACATCGTCGTTGTCTGTTGAATGGAATTCTGTTAGAAGTGCACGTTCCATGCTTTATGATCGACGACAGTTATTGAAGTCCGCAATGACATCAAAATCAGATTTTGACACTGTGCACGTCGCACATACACCGTATCTCACCGTTGCGACGGTGTACCTCTCAGGGTAGTCTTGAATTTAATTCAGCAGGAAAGGGCGCACTGTTACCTCTCCCAACCACGCATCATCATAAACAATGCCATCATGCGACGCATGCTTCGCAGCCTGCAACACCACAGACAGTGCTGAGTGCAATATAACGGCTTTGCGTTGCCTGAACACGGTGCTTTGCAAACCCCATCCCTTGTCTCCTGGGCGATGATGGAGGACGGGAAGATACGCAAGAAGTGTCGCGTCATCTGCATGGTCACCTATTGACATTATTAATGGATATGTCGTCTGTTTCTGCCGTCCATCTAGATGTGTTTTGTCAGAATACAGACAGATTGGCACCACATACCGTGTTCTACAATTCTTATCTACACCTTTGTGCGCTCTGATGACGGTCTGTACGTGATGCCACAACGCACCTGAGCGAGCGCTGTCTATTGTGGGTTCTGCCTCGGGGGGAGACACGACACCGTTTCCATCTTTTTCGTCGCTACTTTGAGTAGTGACGTGAAAGTTGTGTGTCAATCTCGGTACCACAGGACGGCATGTGCATCTGATGGCTTGTCATCACTTCTAAGATCTATCTCCCGCCACCCGTTCGTCTCTGCCTGCCTGCTCGTCCAACGTAAAAAGTCACGGTTGTTGCGGTACACGATTTCCTGCGGCGAGAATCTTGGATCTATCAGTACTGACAGAAGAGCGTCGATGTCGTTGAGCGACATCCCTAAGCCACCCCTAGAGGACAACATGATCGCAGCCAGTCTGCGGGATGTGTCGTCCTCCCAACACAGCTTTGCATGTTTGCACAATAACGGTTTGTCATTCACCCTTGCATTGCATATCGACACACGAGCCAGCACAACCATGAAATGCCAATGCTCAACAATACCTGAAGGCATCCAACCCATAGGTACCCACTCGTCTGAACGCAGTGTGGCTGCCATCGTAACTTTCTTTTAAAAAATGTCAGGATAAAAGACACCGGGTACCCAATTCACATGATACCCGTACATCTCCCCGGATGAATGTCTGCTCAACTCCGTTTGTGGAATAACAGTGTCAGATATGTCAATATCAGGCAGCCTCTCCGGCGTTGTCCTGTCGGGGTCCCATATGTCAACGAACAGACCATCATAAGTGACCTCTCTTCCTCTTATGTGCCGCAGACAAATGTTATCCTCCCCCAAAAAAACTTTCCCCTCCACAATTGGCGAAAACACGGGGTTCTGCACTGGGATCAGGGGTTCCCCTGTCGCGGCATGAAAGGACTCCGTCATCTCATACTCCAAATAACGAGACGAGAACTCGCCATCTATATAAAGTGTACTCCAACAGTTCCCAATTAGATTGCGGACAAGCATCCTTATCTCCCCATATTCACAAGGAATGCTTGACGGCACCCAACCCCACTGCGCATCCCGCGTTGCATCATTGTCGTTGCATACTCCATCCCTAACTCGTGTGCTGTCAGAAACCACCCATTGTTGGGAGCAGTCCTCACGATCGTAACATAAATCATTCAGCCATAACCCCCCCTTTTCTACCAGTGCCTCCCAAAGGACAAGCGTGCATTTGATCAGATGTGGAAGCGCGACGCCGTCATTCAGCCTTGTGAGTCGGTCGAAAATAATGGTTGCCGTGATGTAGCGCCATGTGGTCAATTTAGGCGGAGGATAAGGGACCCATGTATCACCGTTCTTAAAGGCGAGGAAGTGCTTGCCCCTGTTCAAGCCTGGCTGCACCTTGTCGGGCTCCCAGTTGGTATCGCAGAGGAATTGTGTTCCTGCTTCAGTCTTGGTGATACAGTCACTGCCAACTGTGCAGATCAGAGTGTCTTCGTTGCGTGTCCCCTCGCCATTATCCGCGTCCTCATTTGCAGCCACGCAAAGGACACCCAACATTTCCTCTGATTCCATTTGCAACGTCGTTTCTTGGTTGGTATCATTACCTGTCACCCCTCTCCCAGGACTGCCAACTCTCTACTTGTGAGCGTCGTCTCTCGCTATGACGTTCAATATATCTTGATACAGGTCTTCGGTCGTGCATGCAATAGTCTCGACCGCCATGTTCATGGACACATTTGACTTCTCCATCTATAACACGAGACATGACAGACATGTTGGAGAACATGTGACGATGGACACGTTATTCGTATGGGGGGG